CAGAGCCAGTTTAAACCTTCCATTTGAATATAACTGATGGCCCTTTAAGATTTAAGTTTGCACAGGTATTGTAGCTGTAACTACTTTCCCTCTGGTGAGTGACAGCTTTCTAACCTAAGTCAGAAACAACTGTAGTTCATTTACAACATATGTCCACGAGGGGGCAGTATGGAGAACCGCAGGAGCATTTGTTTACTGTAATAATGGGGAGCTTTACCTGGAGTTTACCAGTTGTATAGAAAGTCGCAGGCTTCTGGTTTGTTTATGTCTCTGTGAGTCTTATGGTAAATGCAAAAACCAAACACCAATGGCATATGTTTGGTTATTTGTTAACACCGAGCTTGGTAGGATCTAGGCTTAAAGTTGGGGCAAACCTTTGGCCTTTCACAGAAAATATGGAGCTTACATTCTAGCTCACCATCATGTCTCCAGTACCTGGCTCAATAAATATTTGTTGAATGAATAACTGAATGACACCAGCTTATGCTATGTTGCTATAAGCATAGCATCTCTATGAAACGTACTAATGATGTGTTAGAGCTAAGTGTTTTGATTTTCCATTTTTTTTACCCTGCATATGCCTTTTCCTCCACCTCTCAGAAGTCATCAGTAAATTTCTAACGAAGGAAAACTTCAAACAACCCTAGTAGTTGTTTTCAAAGCAGACTCTAGAGTTTTCCTTGCCATGGGAAAAGCTGAGAATATAGGCCAGCGGTTGTGCTTAAAAAAACAAGCAGCTGATGGGTCTCTAAGTCACCAGTCACCTCAGGGGACTGCCTACTCCCCCGACACCAGGTGCCCAGGGGTTCTTGGTAAATGTCAGATGCTGCTGACTGTGATGCACGCGTTGGCGTCAACTCAGGCAGCAGAAACAATCTAGCATCACCCTAAAAAGAGGAAAGCTCACTTCTCTCCTGAGAATGATGTCTGAAACAGGAAACGAGGTTGCCAAAATGTGGTCTTTGCTGTATAGAAGCTGAAGCTGGAAGATTCGGTGCTGTTGTTACCCAAACCAGGGAAATCATGAAGGTATTCAACTTCTAAAAGCATGCACAATTATCCTTATTTCTTAGAAATTATTTCTTAGAAAACTAAGAAATAGACTACATGAGCTTGAAAAAACAAGGTGTACTAATAAGAATAGATCTCTCTGTATTAATTGGAAAAAATTTGCAGATAGATTAATTAGTACCTTTATATCAATTAAAACAAAACTCACTACTTAAAAAGTGACACACAGTGACACTATATATATACACACCACAGGCACACATACGTGTGTTTGTGTGTTCAGAAAAAATATTATACCATATTGATAATAATGGTTGCCTTGGAGAAGAGACAGAGGGGACAGGACTATGGATTACACTCAGAGGGAACTTTAACTGTAATATTTCAATTTTTTTTACAGGAATGTTTCATTTATAAATTTTAAAACTTAAAAATTAATTTTAAAAGAAAAATGATAAGCTGAAACTGGTTTGGCTCAGTGGTAGAGCGTCGGTCTGGTCTGTGGACTGAAGGGTCCCAGGTTCGATTCCGGTCAAGGGCATGTACGTTGGTTGCGGGTACATCCTGGGTAGGGGGTGTGCAAGAGGCAGCTGGTCGATGTTTCTCTCTCATCGACGTTTCTAGCTCTCTATCCCTCTCCCTTCCTCTCTGTAAAAAATCAATGAAATATATTAAAAAAAGAAAAAAGGAAAATGATAATAGTTGTTAGAGCTGGCAAACACTACACATGGCTTAGTAAGGCAGGACATTAGCTTCTTGATCAAGGCTGTTAAATAGATGTGGTTCTAGGGCTTTCTAGAAATAGGCAGTCTGGAACAGGCTACATATAAGATGCCCAGACAGCCCTGGCCAAGTAGCTCAGTTAGTTAGAGCATCATCCCAATGCACCAAGGTTGCAGGTTTGATCCAGGTCAGGGCATGTACAAGAATCCATCAACTAATGCATATAAGTGAAACAATAAATTACTTCTCTATCTCTCTCCTGTTTTTCTTTCTAAAATCAATCATAAGTAAAAATTTTAAAAAAAGAAAAAAAAGAATGCCCACACATTGCAGAGGTACAGATGTGAAAGAAAATATTGTCATACGTAGGCCAGGTAGTATTGGCAGTGGCATTTGCCTGACAGACCTACATTATTTGGAGTTAATGAGCTGAATTGTGGTGTTTCTACAGTGCTTTATGTTTTCAAATTATCTCATCTGAGCCTAGTAGGTAGGGCCGGACGCAGAGTAGAACATTGCGGTTTAGAAAAATGAAGTGACTTATCCAAGATCAAGGTTAGTAAAGGGACAGAGCACCTGTTTTCCAGGATCTGGATGCCCTCTATAGTTTCTCTATTTTCAACAAATCCATCTCCAATAGTTAATAGTAGCGGTCAGATCCTAAATTTCATCTTCTTGCTGGCTGAGTACATGTCCTGGCAGCTGCCGCCACCCACTTTCTACCTGAACCTCGGTGGACTGTCTCAAATCCAAAATCCAATTTCAGAACATAGTACGTTCTACCAAGTGGATTTTTCCAGCCAGGAAGTTGCTCGCTGTCAAGAACAATATTCGGCCTCTGTCCTGGTACAGTTGCACGTGATAAATGACATGGTGTTGGGCTTGCTAGCAAAGCCCTGTGCCGGCTGGTGTCAGCTGGAACTATCGTGTCCGGTTAACTTTTCACAATGGGTCGTATCTCCCCAACTCAGAGTCCTCCGGGCCCTCTCTTACTCTTCTGTGTCCCTGGGCGGCCAGCCTCTCCGTGAACGTGCACTTGATACGTTCCTTTTGCCTCTTCACGTAGCCAGGGCGAGACAGACTCATGCGCAGTGACACCCTTTAAAAATGAATACACCGCCCGTGGGAATTAACGCTTTTGAAAATAAACTCTTGCTTGTCCTAGTCCCTGCCATATTGTTCCCATAGTATGCACTGCTGTCTAACACACTTCAGTATCTGCTTGTTTTGTTTAACTCCCCCACTATGTTTGCTTCAAGAGAATAGGAGCAAACATAATTTCTTTCTTTCTTTCTTTCTTTCTTTCTTTCTTTCTTTCTTTCTTTCTTTCTTTCTTTCTTTCTTTCTTTCTTTTTTTTTTTTAAACATTCTTATTGATTTTTAGAGAGAGAGGAAGGGAGAGGGGTAGAAAGAGATGGATACACTGATGAGAAAGAAACATAATCCACCTGCTGCCTCCCACACAGCTGACCGGGCCAAACATTGTTTCTCTTGCTGGCTGCTATACCCCAGGAGCTGGAACATGCCTGCCCCTAAATAGGTGCTCAATAACTATTTGTTGAATAATCCAGATGGGGGAAATGAACATTAAAGGGAATGATTAAGGGAGATGCATGGAAATCCTTGTAATGACCAGGTGACAGATGACACTTTGTGTTGGAGGGGTATAGGAGAACAGACACTGTCATATGTTGCTGGTCAGCGTGTTAGCTTTGGAGGGCAATTTGGCAAGATCTGTCAAAATCTAAAAAGGTACCTTGCCCAGCGATTCGACTGCCAACTGTACACTCCATATATCTGCATGTCCAAACACATAGATCAAAGGTGTTCTCGGCCACATTATTTTGATAACAAAAATATCTGGAATGTACTTAAATTCCCACCCAGAGAGGCCTGGCTAAATATCCTATTGGCATTCATGTGACTGCCTAATAGGCAACTATTAAAAAGATAGTGGAAGATGATATACGGAGCAGTCTCTGTGATACACGGAGGGAAACAAGCTAGGGGCAGAAGCCACCACTTGAATAAAAATAATTGCTATTTAAATAAGATAGGTCTCTCAGGCAAATGCCACTGCCAATACTATTATACCTGGCCTACGTATGACAATATTTTTTTAAATACATTTTATTGGTTTTTTACAGAGAGGAAGGGAGAGAGGTAGAGAGCTAGAAACGTCAATGAGAGAGAAACATCGACCAGCTGCCTCTTGCACACCCCCTACCAGGAATGTGCCGGCAACCAATGTACATGCCCTTGACCGGAATCGAACCTGGGACCTTTCAGTCCGCAGACCGACGCTCTACCACTGAGCCAAACCGGCTTCGGCTATGCATGACAATATTACTGGTAAAAAAAAAAAAAAAAAAAAAAAAAAAGGAGAGGGATTTGTATACAAATTTGTACAACCACAAATAAATGCATACACACATAAGCAAATACATACATAATGGAAAAGCGCAAGAAACTAACGATAGTGTTTGCCTTCCTTGAGGGGGTTCAGTCAAAAATTGTGAGGCTTGCAAACAATTAAAAAAAAAAACAAAACACTGTAAATATAGTACTTAAAACACACCACCGCCTCTGTAACGCGCCCATCCACGCTCTCGGGCTGACCTGGTGCAAGCCCCGGGCTCCGCTTTAAAGGCTTGGGGGTGGAAGGGGGACCTTTTATTTCCTCCGGGAGCCAAGCCCATAAAACGCAGGAATAGCCGTGGCCGGCTTGGCCCAGTGGACAGGGCGTCAGCTTGCACACTGAAGGGTCCCAGGTTCAATTCCAGCCAAGAACACGCGTGTGGGTTGCGGGATCGATTCCCAGCGGGGGTCGTGCGGGAGACAGCCCATCAATGAAGCTCTCTCATCATTGATGTCTCTCTCTCTCTCCTTCTCCCGTCCTCTCTGAAATCAATAAAAGTATATTCAAAACAAAACAAAACAAAACAAAACAAAAAAACAGCAACGCAGGGATAGATCCAGCCCCATCGCGCTGTGCCCGGCCCCTGCCCCTCCCAGCCCGGCGGTGCCGCCCGCCCTCCGCCGCCGCCCCGCCCCTCCAGCGCCGGGAATTAAGAGAAAAGTCCGGCCACACGCGCCCCAGCCCAGCCCCGGGGAGGGAACAGCGGCGCCGGCCCCGCCGAGGCCCCGGCTCCGCGCGGCGTGATGCGCCCTGAGCCGCCCGCCGCCCGGCCCCGGATGCCCGCCCCGCCGCGCCCCCCGCGATCGCCGGAGCCCGCGGCCCCCGCCGAGGCGCCCCCCGCGGCCCCATGGGACTGAGGGCCTGGCTGCGGGCCGCCTGCTGCTGCTGCCCCTGCCCCTGCCCCTGCCCCTGCCTGCCGGCGCCCGCCGCGCCCGAGAAGGAGCCGCTCGTCCGGTGGGTGCGCGCCCGGCGGACCGGGGAGCCTGCCGGGACCGGGGAGCCTGGGCGGGACCGGGGTGCCCATCCGGGACCGGGGAGCCTGGGCGGGACCGGGGTGCCCATCCGGGACCGGGGAGCCTGGCCGGGATCGGGGAGCCCATCCGGGACCGGGAAGCCTGCCGGGACCGGGGAGCCTGACCGGGACCGGGGAGCCTGGCCGGGACCGGGGGTGCCTGGCCGGGATCGGGGTGCCCGTCCGAGACCGGGGTGCCTGGCCGGGACCGGGGTGCCTGGCCGGGATAGGGGTGCGGATCGGGGTGCCTGGCCGGGATCCGGGGTACCTGGCCGGGATCGGGGTTCCTGGCCGCGTAGTGGGGTTACCGGCAGCCCGGAGTGGGGAGACAATGCGTGCTGGTCTGAGTTAGGGCAGGGGGCTGGCTTGAAGGACCATCTAAGCACCTTCCAAGCCCCTTGATTCCTTCTTACAGGACATGCCTGCTCCTTGGGCAAGAGTTTTTTCCCCCCCAAAAAAGTACAAATCCCCAGAGACACCTGAGACCCGGGTGGGAGCCTGGGGAAAGTGCCCAGAGTTGGGGTGCAGTTGCCGGCCAGGGGCGCCAGGAGGGGCGTTGGCACAGGGGTCCCTGGAATACAGCGGCCCCTGACCGGCCTGGGACAGGGTGAGTCTGTGTCACCCGGGAGGAAAGTGGGATGTCTTGTCAGTCCATGTTGTTATCGAGAGGAGAAGATTTCAGTGGCCGAGCACAAGGAGACATTTTCCCCCCACATTACAATAATGTGCATTTTCTCAGTGGGACGTTGATTTTTCGCAGGCTAAGCGACGGAGTGTGGGAAAGGGTAATGCGCTCAGTGGCGCTGGGAGGTTTTGGTCAGGGCTGCGATGTTAAGCCTTCGTGTTTTAACTGCTGAAGTGAAGGCTCCACTAGGTCATGCCTTGGGGGCTGATGTGAGTGAAAGGAAGTTATTTAAAATTAAATTAGAAATATATATATATATATATATATATATATATATATATATATATATATATATATATATATATATTTATTTATTCTCGAATTCCAGGGTTGAGTAAGCAAATATCGAAGCCAGTGTTTCTTGTGATTCGAGAAAGCTTTCACAACTTCACAAGCATGATTTACTTCTCTTATCCCATCAGGTCCAAACACTCCCCTTGACTTTTAATTCCTTACATAACCCCTTCCTGCCCGATCACTCTTATTTTCCAGCGCGTTAAACAGGGCACACTCCTTGATTTAATCGGGCAGCGTCCTGGCGGCTCCAGGAGCAATCCAGCGTTTTCTCTCTCTGTTTGCCTCAAGTAGTGCCCTCTCCCCTCCCTTCCCCTTCCTAAATGCTGGTTCTCAGTGCCGCCTCAACAGCCTTCTCAGGTTACTGTGCCCGCACTCATCCATCTCTGTCCTGTGAGTTAGGACTTGGAACTTCCTATCTGCCCCTCGTGATGTAGTGAGCACCCATGTATGTAAACATATATATCATAGTTTCACATATATGTGAAATACACACAAGCAAGCATACACATAATACCCAATGTTTTTGTTTGTACTTGTGATGGGGCCTTTACTCAGATGATGGGATTACTGTGGCCTGGGAGAAACCCAGGAATCCACCCCCAGTCATATGGAGTGGGTCAAATCTAGAATTTTATGCTTGGGTTGCTCACTCAACTTGCAATGCTCATTGTCTCATGATGCAGCCCTCAGCTTGGTCTCCCCCTTCAGAGCCCTGGGTCTTTCTCATTTTCTGTCTGGGATTGCTATTGGAGTGGACAGTTTTTGGTTGTTTCAAAATCTCCTGCCTTGATTTACACTAGAAGTCAGGGAATTTTGCAAGTGATTTAAAAAAGACAAAGTCAATAGCACGGAGCTCATGATTCACATCGCCTGAGGTTAAAGCCAAACTGGGTGACCTAGCACAGATTATGAAATTTATTTGTGCCCTAATTTCCTCATCTGTAAAACGGGGATGGTAATAGTATGTACCCAAAGGGTTGCGAGAAATGAAATGAGCTAATCCATATGAAGTGCTTACTAGAGTGTCTGACACATAGTAAATATTTAATAAGTTTTAGTTATTAATTATTATTGCTATTCTTTTGAGCGTGTGATTATGAGTGGACTGGTTTTTTTGTGGGTTAGCATCATTCTGGCATCATCTCAACATAACAATAAATGGGAAGAGTAGCTTATTGATGGACACGTGGAGCAGTGATATGTGTGTGTGGGGTACCTTATTGTTCTACCCAAGTCATCGGAAGACCCAGTTTCAAAAAGTTATTTTCATTTATTTTTTACTTTTGTTAAAGTGTGAATTTGGGTGGTTTAGTATATTAACAAAGTGATTTAAAAAAGACAAAATTAATAACACAGTGCAGTTGTTAAGATGATCTATTTTAGAGCATTTTTACCACTCCAAAAAGAAGCCATACCGCTGAACAGTCATTTGCCGACAGCCCCACTCCCCAGACAATTCCTGCTTTACTTTCTCTCTTTATAGATTTGCCTGCGCTGGACATTCTGTGTAAATTGCATGTTACAGTGTGTGGCCGTTTTGCGCCTGGCTTCTTTCACTTAGCACAATGTTTTGAAGTTTTCATCATGTTGTAGCACGTATCAGTACTTCATTCCTTTTTATATTTGAATAATATTTCACTGTGTGGATATATTACATTTTATTTATCCATTCATCAATTGATAGACATTTGGGTGGCTTCTACTTTTTGGCTCTTATAAATAGCGCTGCTATGAATATTTGTGTAATCTTTGATTATATGCCTAGAAAGGAAATTCCTGGGTCATATAGTAATTCTGCATTTAACCTTTTGAGGAACTGCCAGAATATTTTCCAAAGTGGAGGGTTTGAAATAATTTTTTTTAATTAAAAATATTTTTGTTAGTGACATTGGTTAATATAATTACATAGGTGTCAAGTGTACAATAATTCACCTTCTGTGTATTATATTGTGTGTTCACTGCTCCAGGTTAAGTCTCCTTTCATCACCATTTACCCCACCTTTACCCTCCTCTATAATACTTTCCTCATACCCCTTTTCATTGTCACACTGTTGTTTGTGGTATAAGGTTTTCCTTCCTTTGCTTTGAAATCTTGATGTGGTAAAATCATGTGGGCAGATGGCCTTAATTTTTATTTCATTGAGAACTTCATTCTTCACGTTATATTATCTTTGCTCTAATTATAAGACAATTTTCAAGTTTTATTTCATACAAGATATGAAATATCGTCTACCTGGAAGAGGTGTGTTTGGGGGGGGACATTTGTCCTTTGTGTGCTCGGTCATCCCCAGTCCTTTTGAGAAATGTACTGGGTACTCGTGTCAGTTTAAGAAAAATTACTCGTTGTCTCATTTTGTTTGTCCATCAGAGAATGCCACTTAGGGTTTGACCTTGCTTTTTCTGCTTTCTCTGGAACCCAGTATGTGGAGGCGATGTCCGTCTCTTACCTTGCTTGCATCTGTAGTTTTCTCTAGTCTCAATTTCATTTCTAGGTATATAATACCTACTAGTTCCCCCCCCCCCCTGCCCTTTCTCTAGAAATATCTGAGGCCTCCCTGACTAAAAATCCATCCTGTGATTACCAGGGCCTTCAATTACCATCCTTTGCTTTCCTTGTGTCAGGTGCACGTGTCTTTGAAAGTGGTCAGCTGTACCCTTACCTCCTACACCACCCCTTGAAGATGAAATCTGGTGTTCGCCCCCTGTACAATCACCTGAACATCGCTCTCCTGAAAGTTACAAGAGAAAGCAGTCTGATGTTCTTTCTCAGTGTGTACAGAATTACTCTGTGCTGACCTTCCGTGCCTTCTTGCACACTTCCTTGTCCCCTGGCTTCTCTGATTCTGCACTCTCTGGTCTCTGCCTGCGATCTAATCATGCTGCTTTCCCTCCTGAGGGCTTGCTGATGCCATACTTGTGAGCTGGACATCTGTTTGTTTTGTCTACTTCTTAAGAGTCTACTCTGATTTTAAGGCCCATTTTAGTCGCCACCTTCGTGGTGAAACCTTAGAAAGTCGCCCCAAGCAGTATGGTGTCTCTCCTTTCTTCTTACCCCCCAGGGTCCTGGACCTCATTCTGCCTGATCTTACCCTTACCGTAATGTGGGTGCCAGAGCCCCTGCCAGATCATAGGGACTAAATCTCACTCACCTTAGTATCCATTTTTTGTGCCCAGCCCAGTGCTCAGCATGGAGTAAGAAGTATATTAATACTTTTCCATTAATAAAATGACTATAATGGCTGTTCATTTGTTAATTTCTTTCTATGTGCAACTTTAAAAAATGCATGTAAAACAAAACATTGTGAAGGATGATAGAGCAAACAGCCACATACACAGGATCCGATTAAGAAAACATTAAGAAGCCCTAACCGGTGTGGCTCTGTGGATAGAGCGTTGGCCTGCGGACTGAAAGGTCCCAGGTTAGATTCCAGTCAAGGGCATGTACCTTGATTGCAGGCACATCCCCGATAGGGGGGATGTTGCAGGAGGCAGCGGATCGATGTTTCCCTCTTATCGATATTTCTACTCTTTATCCCTCTTCTTCTTTGTAAAAAATCAATAAATATATCTTTTTAAAAAGAAAAAAAGAAAATGTTAGCAATAGAGTTGAAGCCCCTCCCTTTACCTCTGCATTACTATATCCTGCTCCCATCCTGACCTGTACATATGTGTTTAGCATTCTTAATTTAAATAGATGGTGCCTTCTGCATGTAGACTTTGCCTAAGTGAGATTTCTTTACACACATTCTGTGATTTAATCGTCACTATGACCAAATGAGTTAGATGTCTGCATTTTGTCAATGAGGATCCCAGGCATAGAGAGTTTAAATAATTGATTCAGAGACACAACTGAGAGAAATCAGAGTGGGAATGTGAATCTGTGTCTGTTCACATCCAGGCCTTGTAGAAAATTTAGAAAACTGCCAAATATTTCTTAAAAGTAAATTATAATGTTTGTGT